AATGTATTCTCTTACAACATTTTTAGAAATCGACGCGTTACTCATCTTTTTGTGCAGAAAGAAAATTTCGGATAATTTCCGCAAAAAGAAATGTAGACGTTATTAAAATAAAAAAAAAAAGGTATTTTTAATTTTAATCGTTTTTCTCTTGGCTTCTGGGGCGGCGAAACTTATTGGCCCGGGGTGCCAAATATCAAGATACGCCCCTGTTGAGCTTGTTCTACGAGTAGAATGGCAGAGATGCTGACGTCACCCCGCACTGTTAAACAGTAGCAGATAATTGATTCACATGATGCTGTATAAACGAGATGTAGAATCTTTTTTGGGCAGTACCATAATGTAACTGCAGTTTGTAGCAGTTTCATTATGGTACGGCTTACTTCTGGGGTTTGAATGAAAACCTACTGTCAATTATGATGAAAAGGTATTTGATGCACTAAACCCTTTGAATGAGATCACACGCGGACAATTTCAGATTGCAGCCTGTAGAATGAATTTTGACGTTATAATTATGTTCGATTAGGTGCTGATGATTTAGTTTAGTAAATACACGGGAAAACGAAAACGCACACACCAATTTTGAGGCTTCATCGACATCATTGTTTTTATTATTGGCTATCAAATCATATATTTCATCGTAAAAAAGCGTGACGTATTTATAAAGATTATCCCGACAGAAAACGAGGGGTGTTATAAGTTTAAGCTGTGTGTCTGTCTGTCTGTCTGGGGTATCATAGCTCCCGAGCGGATGGACCATATTCGTTCCGATTTTTTTTATTCGGAAGCCGATGTAATCGAGATGGCTCAGTTCCTAGGTGATAAAGGGCCCTCGCTAAAATCCCCAGGTCCGATTGATCTGAAAGAACAATGGCGGGTCTCCATACAAAAAAATATTTGGAATCAAATTGCATGGTCTTGGATTAAAAAAAAATCCAATAAGTATTTTACTTTTCCTTATTTTTTACCTACGAGTATTTCAACATAAATTGTAAATTCTAAACCGAAACTAACATAATCTTTATATTTAAACAAAGAGCGCAAACGTGTGTCAAGAGTTTGCTCTTTTTCAGCTTTTGTTTTTTTTTAGCTTGAAAATTTTCCTTTTTTTCAGCTTGCGTTGCCACTTTTTTTTTTTACTTCCTTATGTTGCACTACAGGATTTTCAAATACGTAAATAATGCACTACAAACTACATTCTTTATTGATTCAGTACTTAGAATTATGAAACTAGTATCTGATTACCATATTACGATACTTTATTGGACAGTATTGTACTTAAAAAAATGGCTGTAAAATGGTAACACTAAACTGACAAAGGAAATTAAAATAATGAAATAAGCTGTTTTTTTCTTTTCCTGGTGTTTTACTAACTTAGATGATAGTTTCAAAAAACGTTGTACTAGATTTAGTTTGCTATGAATGTTCTTTGGTATACTGTTTCTTTGATGGTATTTCCACGACTTGTTAACCTGGAACTTGCTGCTGCATCAAGTAGTCAGCGAAATAGCCAACTCCTCAAAAAATTACAACATATGTTTGGGCTTCATACTATTTTTTTTTTGTATCGGGTGTTATACAATACTGTTACGAGCGGAATATGTAATAAATAAAGTTGTAGTTTAAAAAATTCTTTCTTCTCTTTTTAAAAAAAAGACAACTCCCGCAGCAGGAATACATTCCTGTGTCGCGGGGGACTTTAAAAACATATATGAAACGGACACAAAGAACACCCAGACTCAGAACAACAATTTGTGGATCACACAAAGTGTCGTTCCATGTGGGGTTTGAACCCACAACACTCAGCGCAGTAGGAAGCGGCGTGGCGACCGCTTAAACCACTACACCATCCGTGCAGTCATGCGAGTCTCATCAGAGAATGCCTTGGGTATTAAGTCCGCCTGTGTACAACTTGTGCATTAAGTTAAATAAGAAATAGAAAAAAAAACAAGAAATCACTATATAACTCGTTAGCCGCACTAGAAATTTTCTTCAATGTTAATACGCTATGTGGTACACACGCTCCGCTTTTATAGTGCTATCAAATTTACTAGAATGATCCCTAGTATTCGATAGTCCGTTCCAAACAAATAAGAATATTCTAGTCTAGTCTAGTAAGTGAGTAGCGCTAAGTAAGTATCAGAATTATTAATCACAATCTCAATAGTTGTACTTTACGTGATACTAGATAGCTCTGTCTTCAACATTCCATACAATGAGGGTTTTTGATACTTTTTCTGCCCCCAGACGGCGCTTCGTATGCGTCACGTCCAAACAAATAGCACAGATTCTTACCGAACGTATAATTTTTTTGTGAAATTGTATGTATTTGGTAAATGTATTTGGAAGTGTTATTGGATTACGGCTAGAGAAAGGTTGCCAACCTGAAGATTGAGCTCAAAAAGAGAGGCGCAAAAGTTTTATTTGCACACAGAGGCACTGCACAACACTGTGGCATTTTAGAAAAACAATATTCCTTTTGTAACGTTTTTAAGAATGAATAAACCAAAAAATGATCGAAAAATACAAATCATGTATGTGTTTTGACAGGGTTGGACCTGACGCTACAGTGCTGCCAACAATCGAACCATTTAATCATATGCCAAAAAGTACTTCATCAAATGAGATCAATAACTTCAGACCTATCGCAGTATTGTCTATTTTTGGGAAATTATTTGAAACTATTCTCAATTGTTGCATTTTTAAACAAATCAGAACCCGGTTAGATGACTCACAGCACGGATTCTGTCCGTCGCGTTCTACTGTAACAAATCATATAAAATTTGTTGACTATGTAATTACTAGGATGAGAGCGGGTTGTCAAATTGATGCAGCATATTTTGATTTCTCTAAGGCATTCGATCTTGTGGATAATGATATTCTGTTAGCTAAGTTTTCAGCCTTTGGATTCAGCCTAAGGCTTTTGGTTTTCATGGCTAACTACTTAAGAGATCGTAAACAGTATGTAAAAGTGGGCAACTATAGTTCACATGAGTACTATACTCGATCAGGTGTAAGTCAAGGTAGTACTTTAGGACCTACCCAGTTTCTTGTAATGATAAACGATCTTCCAAGCGTTCTCTCTAGAGCTCAATGTTTGATGTTCGCCGATGATCTAAAATTATTTTTATCTGTCGCCGATACTGCAGATTGTGTTGAACTACAATCTGACATAGACGCTGTCTACGAATGGAGTGTAAGAAATAAATTGTCCTTTAATACATCAAAATGTAAAACGATAACTTTCACTTGTTCTCGCACCCCAGTATCGGTGACGTATGCGCTAGCTGGCACACCTCTCGAGCGTGTCAGCTTAATACGAGACTTAGGGTTGACTCTTGATCAAAAGCTAAACTTCCGCGACCATATAAGGCAAATATGTAAAGACGCTAATAAAGCTGTGGGGTTCATTATTAGGACTTGTTCTCAATTTAGCAACACACAGCCTATTAAATTGCTCTATAATGCCTACGTACGTAGTAGACTGTAATATAATTCAATAGTGTGGAGCCCGCAAGAAAAAATATATACCCTTTCCATTGAAAGAATACAGCGTAAATTTGCCCGATACCTGTACAAGCGGGAGTATGGTTATTACCCTTTCTTGTTTCCTTCTATGTTTGTATCAGGCATGGTGGGCCTTGATACACTTGAGCTTAGGCGAAACTTTAACCATATTGTGCACTATTTGTTGCTAATTCACGATAGGGTAGACAATCCATCGGTGCGTGAATGCATTAATTTGTATGTACCAAATAATTACTTGCGCGGTTGTCGTCGCCATCACCGACTCCTGACTTATCCTACAACGTGGCGTCTCCCACAAGCTGTTAGTAGCCCCACGGGAAAAGCTATCCAACTAATTAATGTTTTTTTGCAAAATAATGTAGATGCAGACATATTTTTTGACAGCTTACCCAAATTAATGCAAAATGTAATGATCTTTTTAAATACTCATAAATAACTGTTACCTATAATGTACTCTGTATAGCTATTAATATTTATTGACATCTTGTAAATTTTTATGACATCTTGTTGCTTTAATTCTTTATTTCAGAACATTTTATTATTTCTGTGTGATTGTATGAGTTATTAATTATTTGTAATTTATATAAATAATTTAATGTATTGTTTTGTACAATGATCTGTGGTCTGTATATCTGATCCAATGTAGTATTGCATATAAGCGTTTTGCTTGTGAGACTGTGAGCTTGTAATGTTACTTAAATAAAATAAATAAATAAATAAATGTCGCAACACTGCCCTCTTAAGACATGCTCGTCCCGAGTATTATCGGTCCCAAAATATCGCGCCAATAGATCCACATGAACTATATTTGGGTCATCTCTAGGACACTTCTGTATCCGGTAGGTGATATCATTGATTTTCGTCACCACTCGGTATGGTCCATCCCATTTGGCTTGTAGCTTCGGAGATCCTCCTTTACTGCGAACTGGACTATGTAGCCACACTAGCGAACTTTCTACAAAGACCTTATTGTTCACTTGCCGGTCATAACGGGTTTTTATCTGTATTCGAATTTGCCTAATAATTGGGTTGTGGAAGTCTGATGGCAATCGCTGTCGCGAAAATTGAAGTTCAGTCGTATTGTAGTAGACTTAAAGCCGACCTCAACCTAGTTTTGGAAAAGGCTCGGAGGAAATTCTAGTCAAATTTTAAAGTGAACAGCTGCAGCAAAAACATAACTAAATTGGCAAAAAAATCTATAAGAAGAGGGTCTATGACGTGTAATATAGTCCGCCGCGTGTTTATGGCCAATGTTTAGATAACATGGTAATATAACTGCTACGTTTTTAAAATATAGGTAGGCACATTCGAGAGAGGTTTAAACGATTTGTTGTTTATTATAATGCGATAAGAACTGTTGCATGTTCCTTTATTGCTTTTCTTTCAGAAATACCAACACAATTTAAAGACCGTTTGTAAGTGAATTCAAAGTAACTGTTTGTTGCCGAGAATATTTAAAATTTGTATATATTGTCATGGATTATTTTTGGCGACCATTTAGTAGTTACTTGGTAAAGTATAGGTATCAATTTAATGGTAGCTGTTTTTTTTTTGTTTTACTGTAACTTTTTAGGACTAAACTTATTGTAGCTAACTTTTTGTAACTATTAAACTTATGGTAATTGTTAACTGGTGGCAAGTTATCTAAATTCACTGTTATCTCAGTTACTACTTTATCGTATTATATTTAGAACCTCATAAATATTCATCTACTAATGGTAGCCAGTTGGTCTATGATCCATGTAGCAATTTAACTTCATTCATGACAAAATAAATAAATCAATAATAAAAGCAGGCCGTTAGGTCTAAAGATAGTCAAGTAATAGACATGAATACTTGATTCTAAATATAAATGTCAGTTCATTTTTATCTTATTTTTTACATTTTTAACAAATTCGCTGAAGCAGACTCGACGGCCGGGTTCGGAATTGCTGATTATAAGTTTTTTTATTTTTTTTATTTCAGTATCCAAACACACTTCGCAGTATTACTACTGTTATCGTCTAAATTGAGGGGACAAGATTACGGCACCGTAAAGCCGCATTGTGACATCGTAGAATTCAACAGCAAGTATTTTGACAGGCAAATATTGTTTGGTGGTTATGGACGGTCCTTCAACTTATTTTTCCATGAGTATGTATTGTGTTATTTATACTTTGTGCGTTGTTAAGATTAGCCTGACTAAAAGACTGACTAACATGAATTCCACATCGATCGATGCCCACCAAGACAAATATTTGTGTGCAACATTTTTAGGTATAACACTAGATTCAAAGCCACAGTGGGGCCCACATATTGATAAATTATCTAGTATACTCAGCTCAGCAGCATAGCAATAAGAAAAATGAGTTGACTGATGTTGATATAGCACGACTAGTTCACTTCAGTATTTTTCATAGCTGCTGCCGACATTCAAAATATTTTTGTGCCGCAAAAGAGAGCGATTCGAGCAATTTATAATTTAGGCAATCGTTGTTCATTGCGGCAGGAATTAAAAAAAAAACATAATGATAGTGGCATGACAATATATATAAATGAAAATGTAATTATCATCATCCTATCGCAGTCCACTGATGGACATAGGCCTCTTAGATCGATTTTAGCCTTCTCGCATCCACCTCCTGCCAGCCATCCAATTTAATACAAGGTGTAAGAGGCAGCGTACCGAATAGTGTATTCAGATCATGATTCTGAGTCGAAAATCATTGAAATTTTCTGCCGAAAAATTTCACCTTTTTTTCTGGTTAAAAATGATGACAAATGATATCACAATGAGTTGACAGAACATTTTACCGAAAACAATTTAATAAATACCAAAAAACTGCAATGTAATTAATCAAACATACGAAGCGCGCGGGGCCTCCCCTCCGGCCGCCATTTTGTGTTAGTGTGCGTAGACTGTTTGAGCAGAATACACATGTAGTTATTACTTTTGTGCGATACCTACGGGGAATGGCCTTATTTATCCTTTAACAGCTTTTTGCATAAAAAGTTTAATTTTCCGGCAGAAAATTCCAATGATTTTCGACTCAAATTGATAGTCTGAATATAGTGTATGTTCATAAAAACAAAGATAGCTTTTCGAAAAGAAGTTATGTACATAGTGGTTTTTTATTTTATTTTCGTTTTTTAATGTTTTTTTTCACTTTCATTTCTATTCCATCTTTTTTCTTTATCTCGTTTTCTCTTCATTGCCCTTTTACCTTTCAGTATAATAACGGTAAGGTGGCCCACATCAAAACAATGTTGTGGTAAATTTAATGATGCCATTGTATCTATCTGTTAATTTTATTAAAAGAGTGGCCGTGAGTTTGTTTGCCCTTTCTTCTCATAAGGATCAACACCTTGGCAACTCGTAATAGATAGAATTTCTATTGGTATCATTTTATTATGTTTCTTTTCGATTGTGTATGTTGTTGTTAAGTCATAGACTTTAGAGTCTACATAAAAGACGATTTCAAACACTAAAAAATAGAAATAAAGATATTTTGAGTTTGAGTAGGTACCTACATTGTTTCACATAGACTACTTGTTAAATACTTTGAATGTACTTTTGTTTACAGATTATCTGGCAGCTTGTTCTTTAGTCGAGCAACCCAAAAGACAAATCTTACAGATCGACAGATCATTATGTGTAACAGAGTTAAAGATTACTGCACTTATGTCCATGGATTAGACAAAGGTTCTGCGATAGCCTACGATCAGAATAGTGACGAAATCTTTTTTGGAACACCTGATGGTGTATACCGCTATGATTACTTTTTAAAGAAAGCTAAACGCGTTGGTGTAGAAGACGTACCGATAGGGGAATTGCAAATATTTGATAAATTCTTTTATTACACAGTACAACCAGTTCATAAACTTTATATGGTAGAAAACTATAACTTCTCCGATGTAGCATTAGTTATGTATACAGAAGTAGACCATTTCCATGTCTCAAGACGTAAAGTTTTTTACGTTTCAAACAGAACGGCTTTATACGAGTTTTCAAACACAAAAAGTTGTGTTCTCACAAATAGAACTAATTTAAAGATACGGCAAATTGTGGAAGACTCTGAGAAGAATGTATACTTTGGGACAAATGAAGGAGTTTATACGTACAAGAATCGTTTTAGAAGAATCATGAAAATGCCTATTAAATCTGAGTTGTTTGGTTGGACAGTAGTTAATTTGTTGACTCCAAAAAATAATTTGATGATAATATATTCTGATGCAAAGAATATATACAGATTAATTGCGAGTGACAATACCTATTGTATAAATGATTATATCGCCCGAAAAAAGAAATACTACGAAAAAAATAAGCGAAAGAACGATACTGTATCATTAAAGTTGCAACTCATTCTATAGATTCTAGCTCATCAAATCAAATCAATCAAATTTTGGGAAAAATCATGTCAACAAATTTATTTGTAGCATCAAAATCTAGGTAGACGGGTGAAGCAATAAATTTATTTAAAATATAATAGTTAAAGTGATAAAATTTCATTCTAAATACCAAATATAAAAATTATCAATAAACAAATAAATGTTTTACGATGAGCCTGTCGATCTAGTGCATAGATTATCCCCTTAGGGGGGTAATCTGTCCAGGTAGCCGTTGCAAACAACCCGAGACAGATGACACTCCGGTGCGGCTGGGAGGTGTCGTCCAAGGCGAGGTGTTGTTGCGCCTCTTACTGTATGGAACAGTGAAAGCCGCGGCAGCCTCCCGCCCCAGGGTGACTACGGTCACCCCGGGATGTGCCTCAGACATGGGGTACGGCAGGGAGGACTCCAGAAGCCGTCGATGCGTTCCTGCAGCTCCTTCCGACTGCCGAGGTAGGCCACCGCGGGGTTTAGTGGGAAAACCGGTTCTCCGATAGGGTGCGAAAAGCATTCCCAGCGTAAAAAAAGCATTATCTGTAATCTAGTCCTTAGTGTTTCTGACTGCTTAGCCAGAGCTTGTGAATTCGGTTCCAACCCAGGACAAATAATTGTGTGAGGAGCACGATCACTCGTTCTGTCTGGGTGTAATTAGCTTTTGCCCGCAGCTCCACCCGTGTATGTCAGTTATCGCGGTATAAAGTTCCCTATGTCCTTTATCAAGAATCAAACTATCTCTGACTATGCCGTATTTCGCTATCTCGATCTCCCCGGAGCATATCTTGATAAACTTATGTGCGTAAAATTTTTTTTTGCATACGATTCATATTTGGACTTCGCGAGTATGATCATGTTTCTCACTACTACAAAAAGCTCAGGTGCAGCATTACTTTACGCTTCTGTATAATATTGTGTTTAATCCATTAACTCCTGTTTACCTCAAAGAACGCTTTAAGTTCCTTCATGACACACATATGAAATGCCTGAAGTCCTTTGAAGTCTGAGATTGGAAATACCAAGGCATTCTATCAATTTCTACACAAAATCATTTTCCGTAGAAGCTGTACGTTTATGGAATGCCTCGCCAATTTCTATCAAACGTGCGCGATCCGTAATCACCTTCAAGACTATGCTGTATGAGCATAATCTGTCTCTCATAGTTGGAAATTACTGTCTGTATATATTGACGTATGTATGTATAGTATTAATGAATAAATATAGATTAGTAGACCTTATTTATTTCTCTGATTTCTGTATACCTGTCACTAGTTCAAAATGAAGCCGGTCCATCCAAAGGTTGCCTGGAAGAAATTACTCTAAGCGATAAATAAGGCCGTGCTTTGTACATTACATCTCTTGTTAATTACTTTATAATGTCTGTAAAACCCTGGTGTACAAATAAAGTATTATTTATTTATGTATCTATCTCCATACCATCTGAAATCGGGTCAGCGGTTATTGTCTCAATCGCCCACGTATCAGCAGTCTGGGGCCCTACAAATGGTAGGAACAACGTTGTATCAGTTTCAGGTACCTAGGAGCGGCGGTAGTCACTTAGTGTAAGTTTATTTTACTACTACTCGATCGTCACGGAAACCCCTTTTGGTGCTGTGATTGGCCCGCGCTGAAATTTTCACCAATCGCAACGCTGAACGCGCTCTCTATCGAGAGCGAGTTGACGTGAAATAAACTTGCACCAGGCCCTCAGATAACCCGTCCACTAATTTGCTCGTTGATGAAAAGAAAAAGCATTATGTAAAGATGGATTTTGGAAAGAAAGAATTGAGTAGGTGAGGGTCGCATGCCTGTAGCTCGAACTCAGTTTTGCCAGGAATTTGGAACCGCCTAATCGCAAATTTAGTAAAACAAACGAATGGACGGACTATGGTTTAAAAACAAACGAATAATATTTTTTATTTTGTAATACTTATTGTACAGTCTCTGTAATTGAAAAAAACGAGTTATATTTTTATAGTAGTAGCCAATAAGATATTTGATATGCATTTGTCACTACTAACATAGGATAAGTTTTATGTATTACTAACAAGCAATGAGTCATGGTTACTCCAATAAAATGATTATTATTATTTGTATTTCACAAAAGCCTTCCATAGCCACCTATTTGTCCGCGGAGTCTATGTTAATTTGCTAAACGATTGGGCCACATACTGCGTCCACATAGTGCAAATATTTGTTTCGGAGTTTGGGTGTTTTCTATGTATAATATGTATATATTGGCAAAAACTATTAAACTAATTAAATTAAACTAACTAAATTAAATATAACTATTAAATCATCATTAAGTATATTTCGTAATTCTTCATTTTCAGCAGATTTTAGAAACGTTTCTACGAATTTTAACATACGCATATCGAATGTATTTGACGATATTGTTACTATTAATATCTGAAACAATAGGACTAGATTACGATTCAAAGGAAAAGTCTGATCATGTGAAATTCGGTAACGAGTCTTGTACCAGAAAGGTAGTATTCAAAGGCTATGGAAAGAGTTATCATTTGTTTTTCCACGCGTAAGTATCGTTCAATCATCATCATCGTCATCCTGCCATTCTCTTAATTCTACTTGGAGTATGCACAATGCGGGCCAATGCGTAGCACTGCAAAGGGGCATCATCATCAACAGCCTTTAGTAGTCCAGTGCTGGACATAGGCAGAGGCCTATGTCCAGCAAAGCCAAAACTACCTTCCTAAGGAGAGCCTTAGGAAGGAGGTTTTGGCCTACTATACAACGCTGGCCAGACGGGTTGGTATAAGGTTTGTTTCAAGTTTTCCTTCTCTTTGCAGTGTTGTTGGCATGCGTAGTTTGCACCCTTTGTCGGCTTTTACAACACCCTTAAAGGGTTTTGGCTGTTTTTAGCTGTTATTACGAATGTAATCACTTTTAGACGACACCTAGAAGGAAGATAAATTCAGTGCCGGATTAAGTGTTGTAGAGGGACCTTTCTGGGCACGGCTGATTCTGCACTCGGTCGCTAGGAGGTCCCACCTGTCATCGTTGCTATTGCAGTGAGGACTCGGCTTAGCACATGCTGGCAATTTGGCCGGTTATGGCGTCGCAGGGTCGGCTCGCAGTGCAAAATTTAGTTTCTGGTGCTACTTTTAGAAATGTAATAATTAAAGTTTAAATTATATTGTTATAAATTGATATGAAAAAATATTTTCACACTTCGAACGAAATAAGTAGATATTTTTTACGGTTAGAAAGCTATGGTGCGCGGGGCCAGTAGCATTTGCTAATCCGCCACTGGATAAATGAAAGATGATGAGATGAAAGATTCCACTATCAAATTCTACACGTACCTAAAATATTATACTACATATCGTGAAGCAATATGTACCTATGTAGATGTTCAAAGAACATGCTTCATGGTCACAAACCTTATTTAAAAGTTCTCAATACAGTAGCAGTTATCCAATTTATATCTAAAAAACAGGAAATGTATGTCAAGTAGTTTTATAATTTTTTTATAGACCGACCCGTGAATTATTCTTCAGCCGCGCGGTACGGTCGGATGCACTAGATGAGAGAGAGATCATTTCGTGTGAACTTTTCAATAAGACATGTAGAAACGTACAGGGAATCAGAAGAGGCTCTTCTGTAGCTTATGACCACCGTACTCAACAACTCTTCTTCGGTGGGATCGACGGCATTTATCAGTATGATTTCGAAAAGAACACAGCCCGTTTAAAAGCAGCCAGAGGATTAAATATATTGAATATATTTATTATAAAAAACTACTTTTACTACATAGAATACCCCTCGAAGACACTCTATATAGTTAAAGACTACGATTTTAGAACTGCAAAATCACCAATAAACGGAGAAGTAGACGTTTATTTCGTCTCTACAGATTACGCTATCTATTTCACCAACAGCACAGGGCTGTTTAAAGTACAGAAACCAGCAGGACCTCAAAAAAAACCATTAAAGATAGACAGTGAAATACACATAAAGCAAATAACAGAAGAATATTTCAACAATAATATATATTTTGGTGCATTTGAAGGAATTTATACTGACACAGGACGTAGTATTAAAAAAGTATCTAATATTGATAAAATATTTGGCATCACATTATTTAATATCAAATCCTCAGCAGCTGCCAATGGAACGATGATAAAAATAATAATGTATTCAAATGAAAGGCATATTTACAGATTAATTTGTAATTATAACAATAAAATTCGGAGTATAAACTTTGGTGATTTTTAGACAAATAAGAAAAATATTAAATGAGATAGTTAAAAATAAAAAGTAATTACGTTGAAATAATATTAAAAAAAATAATATTTTTACATTAAACAATGAAAACAAATAAAGACAGATAATTTCATTAAGTAAGAAAAAAGAAATTTCACACGACCAGGTTACAACATAGAACAACGCGTTATTATTCTAAGGGTTACAAATATTGAACTGATTTCTTTTTAACTGGCTGTACTCAGCCACGCTTCGCTGTGGCACATTGTGGTTTCATTGATTATCTTCCTCCACCAGTAAATGCAGAGATTTTAGAAAATTTTATAGAAAATTGCAATTCAGTTATAGATTCAAATTGTGATAGTTACACACTGATAATTGGTGACTTTAATTTGAGTTGTATAGATTGGATCCGTGACAGCAACGATGGCTCGTATATGGCTTCTACAAGTAACAGTAGTAACTTAAAAAATAAATTCTTAAATTTTATTTCCCTAAATAATTTAAAACAATTCAACGGTATAAAAAATTGTAATAATAAAATGCTTGATTTAATATTCTCAGATTTTGAGGAAATAAAAGTTACAGATTGTATCGATCCTATCCGTAAAACAGATAAATATCACCCAGCCTTAGTATTTTCGCCAAAAGTTCCGATTTATATTAAAAATGATACAAAAAAGGTGACAAAACTTAACTATTATAAGGCTGACTATGAAACAATAAACTTAGAACTTAGCAAAATTAATTGGTCTAATGAG